CACCTCGGGCGCTCTGAAGCAAATGGGGAGGTCCCTTTCGCAACAGGGGCAAATGGCATCTAATTAATTTGGCTTTTACCTTGGGTGTCAGAGTAGGAGAGTGCAAACAGACAATTATGGTGCTGCAGCTGGTGCCCAGGAACTTTTATCCTCCTGTAAACTTTTCCGTGTGTCAGAGCTCATAGAAACTTGCCTACAATCTGCTAACCTCACATCTGAATAATAAGTATTAGCTTGAGACTGAGGGAGATTATTATAAATGGGAAGAAGCGTTTTTTTAATAAGTACAAGCACAAATGATGTTCTAATGTAAAGCTTTTGCTATCAAATTGTATTTCAAATTTGCTTATCGTAACAGTTTTCCTTTGAAGGTAAACTGTAGGTCTTAGCCTGCGAGCTATGTGAAGTCTGGCTGGCTTTCATGGAACTGGAAGATTGGATGTATCTCGGAGACATCTGTCCTTCTGTTGGCTAATACCGGCCATAATGTTTAGGCACTTCCAAATAGATGAGGAAATTGCAAAAGCTTTATTTCCTTGGAAACCAGGTAGAAAAGAAAACATATTAAAGTAGGAAATGCATCTCTCAACAAAACCGACCAACTAGTCAGAAAGGCTGAAGATTTCTGTGGAATTTCACAAGCAGAAGTGTTAATCCAGTTACTTATCAGCTGAACATATATGGAAATGCAAATTAAGCTTTTGCTTCTTGAAGTACGGTTCATTTCAGTTCTCAAAAGTCATTCTCTCTTTTCCATTTTAGACAAACACGAAACTAAATTAAAAGGTGTAATATATTTTCAAGCTATTGAAGAAGTCTATTATGATCATCTAAAGAATGCATATAAGGTAAACTTTGTTGTTACTGTTGTAACTGAGTGTCATATGGCAGTACCCAAAGTATGGTAGCTGCTGCTGCAAAGTCAAAGGGAGTGCTGACATTGTTAAAACAAACAAACAAACCCCGGAGTGGAGGAAAAGGAAGATGAAGCCAGACCAGTGATTAGCACTGGGGTTTTTTTTATACTGATGAAAGCAGAGATAAGGGAGCACCTGCCTGCCAAGTGATGGTCCCACATGGGATTTGCTGTGAGGAATTCCTTAGTCCAGTGGCGAGACCGCTGAAATCAGTGGCTTTAGCAAACCAAGGGATGGCTGTATGCATCTGTCAGGGAGGGAGTTAACTGGTGCCCGCAGTTCATGGCACCCCCAGCCTCTCATCTGTAATTTAAGAGCTGTGAACAAGCCGAATATATCCTTGGCACGTGGATTGTGAAAGCCAAGGTGGTATTGACCACTGGACAGAGCGGGGGAGTCAGTTGTTTGGGCACGAAACAACAATTTGGAGCCCGGGACTACTGTGTAATAGTCTGGTGGAGGTACGTCGTAAAAAGTGTTTATGCTGGATGCAAACACTTTAAACACATCTCTGCTTCCAGTGCTGCAATGTAGGATGCAGTGCTACAGCATTTTGCATTTTGTCTTTCTTCTTAACCTTATCATAAATCTCCCTGTAAGTAATTTTACTTCTGGTGCCAACAAATGGCTTTTGATTTCATTCTTTCGCTACCCTTCTTTCTGCTTTATTTTAGAGTCCCAACCCGTTGCTCACTTTCAGTGTTAAGACACATGACCGGATATACTATATGGTTGCTCCTTCGCCAGAAGCCATGAGGATATGGATGGATGTTATTGTTACAGGCGCAGAAGGCTACACCCACTTCATGTTATAATAAAAGGGGGCAATAGGGCATACTGCAATAACGTAACATATGAAGTTAGCCATATGCAGTGACATCCGAAAAGCCAGTGAATACTCTGAAAGGTCCTCCTTATGATGTGCACCCGAAACCTCGGAATGAGACGGTTTTACAAATGCATTGAAAAGGGGGGCTTGTTACTTGTTTTAGTTGATCTTTATAGGAATGAAAGACCTAAAGCTGTTGGGAGAATCGTAGTGCTCCAGAATGGATAACCGGGCAATTTAAATTACAGCATCTTGATTCAATGATAATTTTCTACACATTCTCTTATATGGAGAATGTCTTTGTAAACTCATACTAAACAGTTTACAAATGTGTGTGTTGTCATCAGTATGCAAAAATTCTAGTAATGGAACAAAAAGGTGTAATAAGCATATATTTTAATATGCAGCATTTGACATTTATAGATGATTAGGTGACTTTTTAAAACTTTTAGTCAAGTATTTTATAAAAATATAAACAAAGGAGCAACCCTAAGGTACACACAGTTCTTGCCTTAGTAGTTAAGTATTACAACAGAGCCAAAGAGTTATATGATTCCCTTACAATGTTTTCAAATTGTTAGTTGTACCTAACTTTCTGTAAGGGGACAGTGCCAAAACTCTTCATGACTTTTAAAGAAATTAAATTGTTACGATATTCTGTGTGTTCAAACACCCAGTGACACCAACTGTTATGTTTAAAGTTTGCATCTATGGAGCTCAACAAAAAAAGAGGAGGATAGCTTTATAACGGTATGTTTTTTCCACAAGGATATGAAATGGAAACACATGTATTAACCTCCTCATAAGGAGGGGATTTTTACAGAAATTTTCTCTTATGTAGTAGGGTCCCAGCGTGGTTCTAACCTTACTCTGTGCCACGTGAATGGTCTACTGAAATCTCTCAAACATTGGTCCCCTCGAAGCCAGCATCAAAATCCCTACCTACCTAAATTCTTTGGAGCCAAGTTTTCAGCCCCTGAGAGTTTTGGTTTTGTTTTTTTTTTTTTAAATGCATGTCTGCACAGAACAATGCTGTCAAATAGAATAAAAAGAGAGAGGCAAGTTCTGAGGGTTTACGCTAAGCAGTGTATGAATAAAAACCCCTGAAAATTTTAAGTAGCAGAGACTGAGATTCCTAAAACAACAAAAATACTGAGGGTGCAGTGGTCTCCCATTTTAAAATCACTTCCAAGTCCTTGAGTAATATTGCAAAAACATAAATTATTTAATTGAACTTCAAGAAGGTCTCTTATAATAGGACTTTACAGAGGTTCTATTTCAGTAATCAAACTTATGTGCTATGTGGTTTGTGTAATAGAAGAAAGCACATTAGCCTTTTTTTTTTTTCCTTGATGAAAAGTTAATGGCTTTTGATGGAACAAATAAAAAAACTGAAAGCAGAATAGAAGTATGCTGGCAGACTATTTTTGTTATACTTTTTAAACCCTGTATCTGTAATGAACGGGTTGAATTTTTTGTGGTATACACAGGTGATATGGTTGCTCTAGCATGACGAACATCAGTTTCTACTTGATTCATGAAAGAAGGGACTGTTATCGCAAGATAATTGTTATCATCTGTGCAGATCACAGATGATCACAGCTTGTAATCTAATGATTTAAAACACTATCAGAAATAAATTGCTTTGGTTTATATAATTATTATTTTTCCCTGATGTATCTTGATTTTACTCCTAAGTATGGTTATAAAGGTTTTCTAATAATGGTTTTTGTATCCTGCATGATGCAATGAAGGCATTTCAATAAACGTTTTTAAAAATATACTTGTTTTAAATATTCACTTGCTGCTTCATCTTCAGACATTTCTGCTTGTCCTTGAAACAGTTGTATACAGTTTTGCAAGCAATTTTGTATTTTTTAGTAATGCTTAATCTAACCATTCCATGTGTTTCCCCATAAAAGAGCCATGGAAAATAATCTTTCAGATGGCAGGGAAATTAAGAGTGTAGTCTGTTTACTGTGTGTACATAATACCTTTCCCATTTTTTATGACCCTGTTTGGAAAATTTATCACCAGCCTTGGACATGGACAAATTTTTTGTTTAACTGCAAAACAGAAATTGCTGAAGTTTAAGGGTTTTCCAGTTTTCCCAACGTTTGACTCAAATTGCAGGAAGCGTTAGCTCATTGTAGAAGCCCGTGCAGTTTTATGACTTTTTCACTATGTTTGCTACCATCATCACAAAGCGAGGTGGATTTTGTAGTAGTGGACATCAAGACAAGGTAAGGAAAGCATGGGGGTAGGCACCATCTTTTATGATCAGTCTGCAAGCCCTGCAAGCCCCCCAAGCTTACCCCCTTGGGAGTCAAGTACCCACTTACCCTGAAGGACCTCCAGCAACTGCAAAACCACATAGGCTATGTCTTAAAAACCTCAACCGCTCTGTCCCTTGACCTGCCTGCTGACAGGGGCTGGGCTGGCCCTTGCCTGGAAAGATACCTTTGCAGACATCGACTTCTCTTAGCGTTGTTTTTTTCCTTCCTGCGTGGCCTGTATTATAAAAGGTACAGTGCGTAAAGACTTTCTGGAAGGAAAACCTTGTTTTGACTGCCGTGTCTGAGCAAATAAGGCCAAGGAGGAGAGATGGGTAAGGAGGTACGGGCTGGTTCAAATGCCCTGTAGGCTGAGAAAGGTGCAGGCCCCGACGCTGCTGGAGAAGCGCCTGAGGGAAGGACGGTGGGTTTCGAGATGTCCTTTCTGGCCGTCTGTAAGGGCCAGGTAATTACGTGCGTTACATCATACATAGATTACAAAACGTGTACTTTATAACAGTTTATAGCCGCAGACCTACAGGCTACCTAAAGCTTGGGCGTTTCCAGACTGGGTCTTTGCACCAGACAGGGGTGGTGAGAGCCCTTCAAGGAGGGCCCCCTCTCCAGAACGCACACGCACCTAGGGAAATGCTCATTAAGCGCTTTTACTGACAAAACTTCGTTTTCTGTTTCACGAGTAAGCACGCTGCCTGACCCACACCGACCAGCCGGCCCGC